ACTGTATGTGATATGGACTAGGAGTATGACATGGAAACTGTCTATGGGCATAATGGTTGAAGAGTGATGTGCTTTACTATGTTGGAGAAAAATACCAGTTGAGATTTGAGTACTGGGGTTGGGGAATCAGATAAGTGAGACATCAGTTTTAGGTTAGGTTAGAAACAGGTTTAGGAGATGAATGTGTGAACGTGACTCTAAAGTGAAGAATAAAAACCAAACAATAATTATAAATGCTTGTGAGCTCAAAGGTTGTTTGTTTTAATGATTAAAATCTGTTTTGTTTCAGTCCTTGTCTTTGTCCACTCTAAGGCTTGAACAATTACATTGAAATAAAATGGCCAACCTATTTTATAATGACACCATGAATAAACAAATTGAATTAATATTTCTGTATAAATGGTGGTGGCGGGCTATCACCAGAACTTTAAACAGTGAAAATCAATTGAAACCAGTATCACCAACACATACAATGTTTTTTGTTAAAAATACACCAATATAAATATTCTTTGCATCAATATCAGTATTCTACTTTTTATAGATTTTAAAAATAGTATGAAAAAAAATCTTACTCAGAAGTTTACATACCCATGGCTTTCTAGTCTAATATTTCCAACGAAGTCATAGAGATGCCTGTTAGGACTTTCACATTCAATTTTGCCTGAAAGCCTCACCAAGCTGTCAATGTCCTTTATATCAGATGTCAGTGGCAAGCCCTGTTTAAACAAAATTTTGTGTAATGCAATAATGAAAAATTAAGAATAAATAACACAAGATTATGGTTTCTTATATGTTGGTGTTTACATCTATTTATTAATTTATTAGTTGCATTTACTAGTAATGGTAAATCAAATTATACCACGATGTATTTTAGCAGGCATACCCTGCAGCCAGCTTCAGTTTCACGAGCATTTACTGCTCTCTTTTTCTTACTTCCACATGGTTAACAAGGTATTGAAAACTGATTCATTTGTATTTAAGAACAGGATGTCACATTGTTGGAGCAATAAACCGCTTAATATTAATTATGGTCAGTTAGAAACATACACACACACACACACAGAATTATATAAAAATGAGTATTTTTAACTATGATTTTAAGTGGTCCGTAATAAAGTTAAACCAGAATGGAAAGATTCAGAAATATCACTCTAAGCCAAACCCAAACTGCACGATGACTGATGACCCACTAAGCTTGCTAGCTGAAACTAGTCACAGTTAATGTTCCCAAGTGACGTGACAAATTTAAGACAAAAGCAAAATATTTTCAAATGTTTTTTCTCTGCTCTAAGCTGTATTCACACTTATTTCAAACCATGTTTAGATCTTTTCACTAGCCCTAATTATTTATCTATTGATTAGATAGCATATTCATATTTTAATACATTTTCATAAAAAATCCTATTTATTTTTTAATTTGATACTGTCTTCTCATTCTCCTTCCTCCCTCCCTGTTCACCTGCAGTGCCAAATTTTCCATTTAAGATTTTCCCAGAATTGAATATAAAGTAGAGACCCTCATAAAACTGACAATCAAAGGAAGTCTGTTGAGAAGACTGCAAACATTAAAGTTAAGACATTTATTAATTTTTATATGTGAATTCTAAAAATGCATACATAGAAGAAAATAGTTATATTACCAATATTTTGCAAATAAATCAAGGTTTCCTGAGCTAACCAGATCATAAACTCATACCAAGGAAGCAACTGAAAATACTGAATTAATTAAAATTAATTAATTTATTAAAAGGATTAAAAAGGATATTTTAGATAGCAGCCCTTCAATCAAAACAGTCCTAAATCTGGAGCATAAAGTGTTATTTCATTACCAAGAAATTTTGAAAAATTCTGAGATGTAGTTCATGAAACAGAATTCGGTGCCACAATATTGGGCATGGGGCATGAGGAATATCTACAAAATACTTCTGTCGTATAAAGTAATCTTAGAGTTATGACCATTCATTCAGCGACTGTTCGAAGTTATGACGGCACTGAACAAAGGGACTTACAACTGGTCCTCAAAGTTCTGGCCACTGCAATGCCCCCGCAATTTTGTTCACATGAACAAAATTTGGGTGCTTGGCAACCAGCTCGCATTTACGACTGCAGCGTCCCGCAGTCATGTGATTACCATTCGTGACCTTTCCTGCTAGCTTCCCACAAGCAAAGTTAATGGCACCACACTTTACAACTGCATCACTTAGCGATGGCAATCCCAGTCCCAATTGCAGCTGTACTCGAGGACTATCTGTAGTAAAAAAAACTAATAGCTAAACTGAATTGTCAACAACAGAGAAGCTGCAGCTATCTATATAAATGTTGAAAATGTGAAGTAACTGTATAAATCTTAGGTGTCAATAAGTTCAACTTCTTAGTAATTGAATATATAGGATTATAACCCTTAAGATATTTATGCTTTTAAACTGATTTAGAATTAAGATTCTACATGATGTAAAATTTATATGCATTTTCCATATCAAAAATTAGAAATATAAAATATACATGGCTTGATACAAAGATATATGTACAAAATAGTTGGGAGTGCAAGTTCTTTTCCATATAACAAACTTCTTGACCTTAAGATAAGGTCTTTCAGCTTAATTCATCTGCTGAAAAAAAACACAGATGCTTCCGTATGTAAATAACAGGGCTAACACCAGCGGTATGCAACACACTTTGAATCACTGCATACATCTCTTAGGGACTTGAATGGATGTTCCTCTCCCTCCATGCATTTTGTGCCCTTTAACATTCTGCTTCACATTACAAACTATGCATTGTGCATCTTAGAACAATATGGAAGCTCCATATCAACATAAATAAGTTTAACTGATAAGAAAAAAACTCATTTCTTACCTGTCGTATTTTTAAATTAGTTTCACCATCTAAATTTGATGTTTCAATGTAGCACATAGCTTGCGGCTCACTTATAGAAAAGAGAAGATCCATTTTATAAATTAAGTAGTCCAGAATCTATTTCCACTAAAATGCAGCATCATTCTTTAGTTTATGTTGTCATTTAAAAAAAAAATTAACTAGTAATTCACATTTTCAGAAAATTACTCTTAAAATATGCAAATGACTCAGATTGCCTTCATTAATGCACTGGTAGAAACTAAGTGATTCCAGATCTTAAAGTCTCCTTGCAAAGTGTCAGGCAGAAAAAGCAAGCTAAATCATCCGGTAAAAACTAAGCTTGCAGTCCATAGGTTTGAATAACATAAAGTAACAAAGTAAGCAATTGTGCAACATGAAGTCCATAAGGAACCATTACATGCGTGAAAAAGGCTGCACAACCAGAGTAATTCCAGATGCAAGTTGATATTCTTCATATTTTGGGTACAAGCTTCACAGCTGCAGCTCAGATAGTGGACATTTTTGCTTCCTGGCTTATAATTAAACTATAGTTTAAGTAAATCCAAATAAAACATGGTTTATGGCTATGCATATCTGCAAGTTATAGCTTGTTCCCCCTACAAAAAAGTTACCTAGCTGGAATAGGGAAAAGGCTATTGGCAAAAAAATTGCATATCATTATTGTATTATATGTGCCTTTACCCAATTTTCTCAGGAAAGGAAATCTCTCTATATAATCACAGATCCTTGGACTACAATGAAATTATTCCAGATTCATGTACATTTTCATACCCACTATATAAACCTTATTAAATTAACATGATTTCACACTGACATGGATGAATCCAGGCAGCACTTCTAACCAATACTCAGATCCCCGAAAGCCTTACATTTTAAAAACAAATTTCTAGTTACTAGGATTGGAAAGCTGTGGTCATACTGAGCAAAATATCAGAAGCTAAATAAGAATGCAGCCTGATTTGTGTAAGTCAATGACAGGTTCTTTTAATAGAACATTAATTATTATTAATATTGAATATTTAATTAAATCTTTTATATTTAATATATTTATAAGATATTTTTGTTTGATTACTATGTTCTATTTAATATTGTGAACTGCTGAGAATCTATGATTGTGGTGGGACATAAATCTGATTAATAAAAATAAATATGTATAAACACTTGTTTTAAGAGTTAAAGTTAAAATTATAATTAAATGCATTGTAAGAAAATACCAGAGTATTTCCTAAAATACATATAATGTTGATCTTACATTGATGCTATAAATATATTTACTAAACATAAAATATTTAGTAAAATTACAAAACATGTCCATATTTAAACAGGAATTTCTTCAATTTACACGGACTTTTTAAAAGTCAGTTTTTCTGAAAATGTAATTTACTGATTACAGCTTAGCATGCAAATTATTTCAGTTGGAATATATTTAAATCCTGATATATAAATTAATTAATGAAATCCAATAAAATGTAATCACATCAGACAAACTATATAAAAACATATAAAAACTGCATTTACTGAAGCATCATGCTGTTCATCCATCAGCAAATGCCAACTGCATGCAGTACAAAGCATGCAACATTCATGTTTGTGCTGCGGGTCCTCTATAATTCTCAAAATGTATCATTTACTCACATTTAAAGTGCTATATAAAATTAATGAAAACAAGAGGTTCTCTATAGTATAAATGGATATATGATTTAAAAATTTACAAAACAGTTTATTTCATTCATTCATTTTACGGAATAAGGGTAGAAGTAGATCAACTGTCTTTGTATCATTTATCATTCTAAGCCTCTTGATTTATAACTGAACTTCCAATTAATTTCAGTGGAGTGTATACTGAAGTACAAGTATGTCTACGCTTGCAGCCTTAACAATATACATTTGCTTAGACAAAGTCTTTAAGAATGAAAAAGGAAGCCTAAGCATAGTTCCCTTGTACTTCCATTTAAATGAATGCCTATCTATAATAAAGTTTTGTTTTGATTTAGTAGAAGGACCCAGATACACATTTCTTCTATAACTGGTTCATTCTAACCTTGTTGACAGACTGATGAGATCAGCTGGGAGATGCTCCCCATTGGTCACCTTCACTATTTCCCCTACTGCAACCTTTACCAGTTTTGAAATAATTATAACAGAATAATAAATAAAAGGGCAGAAATCAAATGGATTAAAAAGATAGAAAGTTGAAATTATTATATAAAGCATGTTAATAAATACTTGATGTCTTTTTTCCTCAAAATCTATTTAATTCAGATCAGAAAAATATATCATTTAAAATACTTTCAGGTACAACAAAAATAAGCCTACAAATAATTAAAATGTAGACAGCAAATTGCAATACAAATTCATGATACTAGAAGTGAAATACCACAGAACAATATTTTATTTAACTTTAGCAAAATAACAATTAAAAAAGGAATGAAGGGAAAGCTTCTCCTGGATTCCTTTTCAGAAGTTGGGAACTCCTTTAACAGAATTAGTAAATATTGGGATTCATGGCTCTTCCACACTCCTAGAGATGTATTCTCATATTTCTTCTAGAAATTCAAATACAGCACATCTACCATGATGTAGACGGAATGGAAATCAAATCGCTATGCCTCACAGAACGTAACACAGGAAGGATCTTCTCCTCTGTGGGGCTTTCCTTCACAACAATACTAAGAAGATTGTGAAGTATCATCTTCCATTGAGAAGTGGCCTGCCTAAACAGGAACTGTATATTTTAAAAATCATCAGGTAAGGCTAATAAGATTTATTTATCTATTATCTATTTAAATATTTATACTTGGAGATAATGACCCAATCAAATAGATTTTGAAAAAAATTGTTTCATATATTGAGTTGTCCAAGGAAATATAGATAAACAAGATTAAATTTCACAAGTATAAAATATAGTATTTTGCATCCTGAAAGCATGACTTAAGGCTTCTTTGTAATTTTAAACACTATCTTCTCAGGAAAATGTCAATGGAATGCTTTGTTAATAATAAGACATCATTGTGCCCCAAACTAATATTTTATTTTCAATTAATAGATTTGTGTGACAAATTAAATAAAATTAGGAGTAAGAACTCCTGAGTTCCAAACTATGAAAGAAAATATAATCAGATACATTGGAAAGCCCAGGACTTTATTCATTCAAAGTAGTAAATTTTAGTAATAATTCAGGTATGCAATAAATGTATTCCTAAATACTTCTGTTTATTCTTTATTTCCTTGGCGCAATTATGGATCAAAGCTGGAGAGAGAAAACAGTCTCTATTCTGGAAGCATTGATGAGCATCTCTACCTTGATGAGAGAAGTACAATGTCAGCAGGTATATATTCTTTGCCTTTTATTAAAACTATATCTCCAACATCTACCTGAAAGAAAACTAGGAATTGGTTAATAGTCTGAAACTAGCAGAATAATCCTTTTTGTTTTTGCGGTATTTAAGTACACACTATGTAATAAAACTAGTAAACTATTTAAATGGAATTTACTTTATAGGAAGTTCAAAAAGCATGTGAATTCTCATCTACATATATGTTTCTCCCATTTAACAGAATGAGCACATTTCTATCTTCATTTTATGACAGAAAGTAAAACACTATTTCCCCATAACAAAACATAGTGATCTGTCTTGTTACTTGATATGAATATAAAAGGCACCTTTATAATCAGTCAGCTCTTTGCCTTATTTAAATCATGTTGTATAGTCTGAAAGTAATCCTCCAAGAACTATAAACTTTGGATTGTATTTAATGCATAAATTCTACCAATGAATTATGGGCTCCTGTAGCACTTGTATAATAACAAAATTATAATAATTGGGAAGATCTTTACTGGCTGAGAAATAAAGTTTATACAATATAAAATCTGTTAAATCAAATACTACAAGAGAAATTAATCTCTCTTGTGACTATGTAAAATTGATTAGGAGATTTATTCAAAAAATTCTACTTTGCAGTAAGCCCCACTTAGTTCAATGAAACTTATTTCTATGTGGATAAATATAGATTTACAGTTGTCCTGAATTAAAAATATGTAAAATGAATTTGTACTTCAAATGTCCAGTACTTATTATCTCATAAGTAAACCCTGCAATCCATAATGAATGAAGGCATTTATAAGAACAATTAAAGCAATATTCTATGCTAAGCAAGAGAAGTAATATTATTAAATTCTTTATTATGATGCTTTGTTAGCACAGTGGCCACATTTACATGTTTAAACAGATCAGATACACTTGTATTTTTACAACTTGCTAAGCTTGAAACTTTGGGTGACTTAACATAGGTTAACCCAGCCCATTTCATTCAAAGTATTGTGAGAATCCAGGATATTTGCTAACTATGCTGTGTGAAAGCAACCAAAGTTGCATTAATATTATAGGAAAAGGGCAACTTTGGGAACTATTGGCATAGAACAGGGGATTTCTTTTGCCCAAATCCCTTGTGCATCAAAGCAAATAAATTAATACATTAATGATCATACCTGCATTGAATTATTATGTAGGCAATGAAAAATAAATCAGAATTTTCAATAAACTAATTACAATTTAACAAATATGGTAAACATATGGTAAAAATTAAACTTAATCGATTTAATGACAATTTAATCAATATGATAAACATAAAATTTCATTTATTCAATGTAACTCACCATGACATATATAAAGATTTGGATCCAAAGTTACCCTTCTGTGGGCACAGAATTGCTTACATCTTATACTATTAGTATGCTATATCACTGAATGTAAGATGTAATCTTTCATTTTTACAAGAGGTAGTGCAAAAGGCTGCACAAAGCTAAACTCTATTAAATATCCTGACAACAGACATACTCTTTCAACAGTTTTTGTGAGAACAATCTTCAGAACAGCACTGAACAAGCATTTTGGTCTGTTCAGTTCTTTGGATCCAAATCATACTGATATTTTACATTCTGAACAATAATGAAATTGCATACCTTTTCCCAATGTACAATTTCCCAAGCTCCGTTTCTCAATACTGTATCATTAAAAACGACAATAAAACCACAAATATTCTATTAAGTCAATGGTCAAAATGTATTTTTACCAATTTAAAATTTGCTCAAAGATCCAATTATAATCAGATAGACATTATACATAAAAAGACAAAATGAAATTATGTGGAATAAACTTACGGTACATAAATTTATTCTATTAAAAAATATATATTTTAACTTGTGTGCCAACAGAGAATTTTGAATATAAAACAAGATTTGTACAAAAAAAAAAAACAAGATACAGTCGTGTGAAAAAGAAAGTACACCCTCTTTGAGTCCTATGGTTTAATGTATCAGGACATAATAAAAATCATCCAGTCATCAGCAGTTCTCAAAAGTAGGTAAATACAACCTCAGATGAACAACAAC